GTCGCTCGTTCCGCCCGCGTCGCTCGCGGTGTCCGCGCAGTCCCCGTGCCCGGCGCGGGGCGGCTCCGTTGTGCTCAGGCGCGGCGCGGGCAGCCCGGGGTCCAGCGGCGGCGAGAGCGCGTGGATCGGCGGGGCCATGGGGGGAGTGGAGAAGAAGAAGGTACCGGGACCCCGCACCCGACCCCGTCCCCTCCCCAAACTGTCCCGTCCCTGTCCCATCCCTCTGGGGCTGCGCCCACACCCCCGGGGCCCGTGCCCGCCCCTCCGGTGCCTTCCCGTGTCGTGTCCCTCCTCCCATCCGGTGCCCGCCCCCGGTCCCGGTGTCTCCCCCCCGCCGGTGCCGGTGCCCCCCCTCCGCCCCCGTGACCCCTGGTCGGTGCCCGCTGCCCTACTCGCCCCCCTCGCTGTCCGTGCCCGGCGGTCCCTCTCAGCCCCCATCCCATCCCCGGGTCCCGTTTCCCCCCGGTTCCAGGGGTCTCCTCACCCTTCCCCCCATCTCCCCGCAGTACGAGCGCGGAGCCGCCACCAACTACATCACCCGCAACCGGGCGCGGAAGAAGCTGCAGCTGAGCCTGCCCGACTTCAGGTGCGCCGGGACCCCCGAACTCCCCCTGCAGGGACCCCACACCCCATGAACTCACTCTCCTTCAGAGCCCCTGAGCCTCCCTGAGCCCCCCGGGACCCCAGGCCTCAGAATCCCCTCTGAATCCCCTCTGGAACCCCCCCAGACACCCCAAACCCCCTGAGCTCCCCCCAGGACCCCCTTGATGACCGCCCTGGGATCCCCAGGGCCCTCCCGCGGCAGCAGTGGGAGATGGAGCCTGTGGTGGGTGTGTGGGGTGGCCCTGGGACCACCTGAACCCCCTCCAAGGGGTGGCCCTTGGGGTATCCCTGTCCCTTGGGAGCAGAATGGATTGTCCTGTGTGTCCTGGGGTGTGTCTCAGGATTTCAGGTGCCAAGTTTGGGGGTTCCCTCCCAACCAAGGGCAGGGCCTGGGGTGTCCAGGAGTGCTGTGTCCCCATGTCCCAGCCCTGTCCCCTCCCCAGGCGCCTCTGCATCCTCAAGGGGATCTACCCCCATGAGCCCAAGCACAAGAAGAAGGTGAACAAGGGCTCCACGGCCCCCAGGACCTTCTACCTGCTCAAGGACATCAAATTCCTGCTCCATGAGCCCATCGTCAACAAATTCCGGGAATACAAGGTGATTGTCCCACCCCAGGGGCTGCTGGGGCTGGTCCTGGAGCACCCAGGAGCACCCAGGAGCACCCACCTCCCCCATCCCCGCAGGTGTTTGTGCGGAAGCTCCGGAAGGCGTACGGGAAGAGCGAGTGGAGCACCGTGGAACGGCTGAAGGACAACAAACCCACCTACAAACTCGACCACATCGTGAAGGAGAGGTGAGGAGAGTCCTGGCAGAGCCACATGGAGCCCACCTGGAGCTCAGTGTATCCCGCTCTGGGGGCCCAGCACAGCAAGGACGTGGAGCTGCTGCAGCCAGTCCAAGGAGGCCACAGAGATGCTCTGAGGGCTGGAGCCCCTCTGCTCTGGAGCCAGGCTGGGAGAGCTGGGGGGGTTCACCTGGACAAGAGAAGGCTCCAGGGAGAGCTGAGAGCCCCTTGCAGGGCCTAAAGGGGCTCCAGGAGAGCTGGAGAGGGACTGGGGACAAGGGATGGAGGGACAGGACACAGGGAATGGCTTCTCACTGCCAGAGGGCAGGGATAGATGGGAGATTGGGAAGGAATTGTTGGCTGTGAGGGTGGGGAGGCCCTGGCCCAGGTTGCCCAGAGAAGCCGTGGCTGCCCCTGGATCCCTGGAAGTGTCCAAGGCCAGGTTGGATGGGGCTTGGAGCAACGTGGGCTAGTGGAAGGTGTCCCTGCCCATGGCAGGGGGTGGGACTGGATGGTCTTTAAGGTCCCTTCCAACACAAACCGTTCTGGGATTTCTTCACCACATTCTCCCCTCTTTGGGAACCCACCTCCTGTGTATTTTCTGGGAGTGTTGGTGTCAGTGGGTGTCTCTGGGCTGGAGGAGTGAGCAGGGAGCTCCTGGCCATCCTGGATGGCTCCAGGGGGACACTGAGGGCTCCCTCCTGTCCCTGCACTGTGCTTTCCTCAGAGGGAGGACTGGTTGAGGGTTAATCGTGCCCATGGCTTTGGTGACAGTGAGCATGGAGGGGACACAGGAAGGAGGGAAGGAATGGGCAGTGGCAGGAGGGAAGGAACAGGCTCTGGCAGGTCTCTTCCTTGTCCCTGTGGTGCCTGGGACCTCCCTGTGCTGGTGTGAAGAGAGAAGCAGTGCTGAGAAGTGCCCTGTGCCACAGGCCATGGGCCATGTGTGTGTCATGTGTGTGTGTGTGTCCTCAGGGGTCCAGGCTGGAATCCCCCACACTCAAAACCTGTGGGTGCCCTAAACCCTGTTCACACCCACCTCGTGTTC